CGCTGTCAGCTGAGGACTTGGTGACGGTGCAGATGCATCATGACAAAATGCCCAGCCCGGTGTTCTCTGGGTTCTTCATGTGAGGCATCCCGCACATTCTATTTGCCTTGTTGTCGGTGTTCTCCTTCCGACTACTGCATTCTGATATGAAGTGTTATGTTCTCTTAGCTTCTGGTAGGATTGTGTCAACGTGCCCAGGCTCTGGTAGGATTGCCTCTGCTACCTTTGTTAATTTTTGTTATGTTTTCTTCGCTTCTGACTCAGGGAATGCTTTGGCTGTTAGCTGGACTTGTGTCAAAGTGTTGAGGTCTTGCTTTTTGTGTTGTTTTCTGCTTTCGTCTTGCGTTTGGCTTTAGCTCGCACGTTTTCCTTTTTTTTTTCTGTTTGGTGCTCACAGGACCCACCCCATTCCTACCTCAACATTCTTCTTCCTTAGCGTAACCCCTGCTTCTCCATCTATGGGGGGCACTGTTGACCCTTACCTCGGGTATACCGGACAGCATTGCAGGCACCAGCGCTAGGTCATGACAACCCTTCCCAGCCCTAGTTGAAGCACACTATCGGACGAGCGCTTGTCGTTCGGGGCACTTCGGTCGCCAAGCATGATCATCCTATGCACTTTCCTTATGAGCACCAGCCCTGGGTTGGTCAGACAGTGAACATTCCACGGATCTACCCCATGCAGTGTCTATGGGTCCTACCCTGACCAAGGTCTTACCTAAGGCAGCGCCCGACCCAAGTCGGGCGACATGTTCCTAGCATAGCTTATTGTTGCCTTGTTTTAGGGGTTTGTGTTGTTATCATGGATAGTTAGTTATCCAGTTCATATTGAGGGGGCAAGGTTATCGGTCAGTAATCGTCGCACCAGTTCGCCACAGGGCCGATTCCTGCCAGGAAAAAACCTCAGGCCCATCCCCCCTTGCACCCCAGTTGCCTATCAGTTATACATTGTGTTTTTAGCATGGGGCCATTTTCCACCCCTGCTAGTGTCATATTGAGGGGGCAGGGTTATAGGTTCGTAACCGTTGCACCCGTTCGCCACAGGGCCGATTGCTGCCAGGGAAAACCTCCAGCCATCCCCCCCTGCACGCCCCCCCCAGTCGGTTATCAGCTATGAGTTTTTTTTTTTTTTTTTTTTTTTTTTTTTTTTTTTTTTTTTT